TTTAGGTGTAAACCTGATCCATTAAGATGTCTAGTGTTTATATTGCTGTGATCAATAAAGTACCAATTTGATTCTTCGCAAAGATTCGATAACAATTTATTAGTTTCATGAATCTTAGTGTTTAACATCGGATCTTGTCGTTTTACAATTTCTGAAATAGCTATTTCGCAAGTAGGATTCCGTTTTACTATACCTTGACATAACGCCTTCGCTTCGGCTGCTAGCTCCTCTGGTTTCTTGTTCTGTATGTCGTTTGTACCAACATGTAAGATAATCGTATTGGGCTTTGTACGTAGCGTTGGTTGTACGTAATGCTCCATGTCCGCTATTTTGGCCCCTGGGAAGGTTTTAACTTGGATTTTTTTCCCAGCAGAACGCGAGAGTTTGGCTGGCTGCAGCATCTTTACCATAGAGTCTCCAAGGATAATGATTGGACTTTTTATTGACTTTGTGTTTGTTGCTTGTGTTTGAGGTTGAGTGTTGATGCCTGCCTGATTCCTATCAGTTATATCCGATTTACCATTTGAATTAATGCCTGGTTGCTCATCGTCGTCAATATTAAGAGCCTCATAGCGATTACTGAGTTGAATGTTTGCTCTCCCGGTCTCGGTTCTACGGCCTTGTCCTTGTTTTCGCGTCGAATTTAGTTTTATTTTGTTCTGTGCTTGAGACGGTTGTTGCTCAATATTAGTATCGGTATAGGGAGCTGCTTGAAGAAGTCTTATTGATGTAATTAGGCTAAGCCTTTCATTGTCAAGGTCCTTGATTTTTGTGTTCATATCCGAAGCTATAAGTGTTAAATTTTCAATCTTGTTCCGAAGAGTTTGGTTCTCGTCCTTTAACTCTTGATTTTCTCGTCTTAGCTCGTTTATTAACATGTGTTTGTCATCAACTTTTGTTCCAAGCACCTCTTGTTTCAGATCATTAACTTTCCTGTTTAATGTAGTGTTCAAATCATTGATTTTATTCTCCAAATAGTTAAAAACATCTTTAAATGCTTCGTCAACAAGTGGGAGGTTAGGGTCGTATGACTCGTTGCTAATTTCCGATTCATTAGTATTCAGGGTCGAAGCAACATAACCTTCGTCCTCGTGGCGACCTTGGTTCGATTTGTTTAGATTTAGTAGACTTTCGGATGCAACTAGGGCAGCTGATTTCATTTTATCCGTGACTTCATCTCTCTTTTTTCCATTTACGGTGACTGTTAGTGAATCGGGATACCACCGCAAGTCAATATCTTCGGATTTAAACTGCTTTGTAGTTCCTCCCGGACAACCCCAATCTCCGTCGGTTAAATTAAGTACTTCTTCTACAAATATCTGCGAATCTTCGTACGATCTTGTCCAGGTTAACTTGCCTTTCTTATTGAGTGCTACGCCATGCAAACAGCTAACTTTTGCTGAGGAATTATTACTCATTATCAAATTTGATTATAGCTTTTGAACGGAGCTCCCAATTGCAGTGTGCACACGGTGCGAACACGTGAGAGAGAATTATTCGGTGCGAACACGTGAGAAGAATTCATTCTTCTTTCAATCGCATAATTTTCCATTGTGGCCGAACGAACTAATTTACACGAGTAAATCGATCTTTCCTACGACACAAAGTCTTTAAAGGCTTTAAAGTCAACAATTGAGTTTTCGTTTCTGAATATTAGACAAATTTCCTGACATCGTGTTGTGCTCTAATTGTTATACGACTTTTTGAGGAATATTTTTCCATAAATTTATCTTTCTTGCGTGACAAAATTGTAAATCTTTATGCCCTCCTCAAGTATTGTTTACTATAGTTTGACAACAATGGAAAGATTTGCTAGCAGTACTGCCGAAGAAATCGACACTCTGCTGGAAAATAAGATTTCCGAGTCCACCGAGAAAACATTGAAATAAGCGACAAAAGTTCTTAGAGAATACTGTAAAGAAAAAAATCAGCGACATTTGAATGACTAAACAAAATAGCGCTTAATTCACAAACTGCTCGGGCAGTGATACACCTTTATGTATTTAGAATATATTTAATACATGTAGATTCTGGTCCTATTTTAATAATATCGCTGCTATTTCGCCGTTTAACAAGATCTGGTCGTGTATGGGCGGGTTGACACGTCGCAGTTTGCACAGGATTGAAGATTTAATATAACTATATAAGCGCGAAATCCAAAGGCAAAGTGTAAGACAAAGTGAACGTATCATGCGGTTTATTTACATTTTTGAACAATTCAAACGTCTATACTTATTACAAAGTACGATGTGCTTCTAAATTTCGTGATCGAATAACGTTTGTGTACTCGGTTTGAAATAGCGAGAGGTTGCTGCATGCATGTATTTCTAGTTTATTATATACTTCCTAAGGGGTGTAGAAAGGGATGTTTACAGCCAACAGTGAAGGAGATTTACATGTTGATGATTTCATGGTGCAATTAAAAGATCTCCGACTGTTTTTAAGACATCTTCATCCTTCCTTTCTCATCGTTAAAATAAATGAATGCAGAAAGTTGGACAACATTTGGGTAAACGGCATTATAATAATTTTATTATAATATGCAATGAATAATTTGCAATTTATGAAGTAAATTCAGAGTGATAAAAGTACAAACAAAGACGACAAATAATAATTGTAAACGCGAATATTTCTTACAAACATTAAAGTAGTGTCGGAAACTTTATAGTCCTCGGGCGGGCGCGGAGCGTATGTATGTATGAAAGTTTCCGACACTACTTTAATTTTGCATAATAGACCAACTTTTGATTTAGGCAACAAAAAGGAAATTTCCAAAAAGTACATACTAAATTTAGTAAAATTACCAAGTTTGGTTGCAAAATATTGTAAAGTACGGAAAATATAGCCATGCGAAGTTGCCAATTTTGTATACTTTTTTACTATGGCCGGAAGTTTGTAACTAAATTAGTTAAACGCTTCCGGCCGTAGTAAAAAAGTATACAAAATTGGCTACTTTGCATGGCTATATTTTCCGGAATACTTGACATTTTGCAGCCAAACTTGGCAATTATACTAAAATTTCGGTATGCTCTTTTTAGCTGAGGTGATTTATTTCCTTCTTGTTACCTAGATCACAATTTGGTCTATAATGCAAAAGGTCCATTCCGCTCGAAGATTAACAATTTCACCCGCAGAATCCCGGGAGAACATAGCAGAATCCAAAGTTGTCCTGTCAAGGACCGTGAACGGTGGACGATGGACGGTCGACGCTGCGGATTTTGAAACCGTAGACGGCCGGTAGCATCTTTGTTAGTCGATAGCATCATTTTCGGCTTCGGAGTTTCAACGTCGATTTCGCGACACCTTCCGAATTTGTGACGACACCTTACGAGAAGCTTCCCTGATGGTGTTTTACATTATTTGCGGCTTGCCAGCGTGGTTGAATTGAATTCATTTTTTCAATTTGGGTTTTAAACAAATAAAAATTATTTGAGTGTATATGGCGGACGAACACATTCAAGCAGGCGAACAGTACGGCAATGAGGATATATTTAACAGAAGAGAAGAGCGCGAAGAAGATCGAATGAAGTCAATCAAATTTACCGGCTACCATGCTTTCTACAAGCGCATTGCTGTTAGTATAGCTATACTTGACCTTTAGATATGCAAATATATTTTCGAATTTGCCGTAAATATACCGAAATACGTGAGCGATGGTTGTGATTCATTGACAGCTAAAAGAAGAATTCCTAGGTTGATAACACCAGTTGGCGTATTTTACTTTGTTCAATAATTCCCCCATTTCACACCACAACCCCCCTCCTGTAATAATGTTGCATTTGAGAAAAACAAAAATGGATTATTTTGTAAGTATAAATACTAGAATATACTCCACTGTAAATTTGTAAAACACTAAAATACACCCCACTCTTCAGACTTTAGAGTAGATGAGATATACAACACATGATAAGATAAGTTGAGATGCCAGCATATACTAAAGTTTATTTATCATTGACTCACCGTGTCCGTGATGCTTTCAGAAAAATGTATTTTCATAGTTCCTTTACTTCGTTTTAGTTCTCACTTATTTGTTCACCAAATGGTTGTCCCTCGATAACAAGCAACAGAATATAACAAATGGTTTTTCAGCCTTTATAAATTTGTGTCATATGTCATATGATACAGAAGTAACAGAGCTTATAACTAATGAGGAAAAAACGCGTAAATAAAGTTGCACAATGGCGCCCTAATAATTGCCGTATAAAATGTCGAACAAATTATGCAACCGACCATCAAAGATGCTACCGACCGCCTACGGTTTCAAAATCCGCGTCGACGCTCGACCGTTTTGTCAGTTATGCGCATGCCCGACTAACGAGTGGTAAATTTAGCTTCGCTTGGGCTTGTAAGATATGTAAACTTTACATGTTTACCCAAACCCACTATTTACCTAAACCCACTTTTTAAAATTATATTTACCCATGCATGCATTTTGTGGCAATAGTCAATTATTCATTCACACATGGCAGGTGATATCTCCTACTTTTATAACTATCTTAATGTGCATATAACTGAAAATAATAAAGCTTTGCGTAACAGTAGTTTGTGAAAGTACGTATCAATTCAAGACAGCGGTTTCAGTCATCGGATTTATAAAGTATGGCTGACCTGCTACCTGTTAGGTTCATGTTCGTCTTATATATTGTGAAACCACGCTGGGGGAGTGTTCAAAGCAAGCCGTCTTTCGTAGATATGAAAATAAAAACTAGGTGAATCATGTCATTGAACGAAAACAGGCAAATATCGAGTTAGAATGCTGTATATATTGCGTTGGACATTTAGGTCATTTTCGTATATAATTAGTACTCTTTGGTACAATTTACCTGTTCAGTTAATTAAGGAAGTCTAGAGATATTAAATGTTTTAAAAAGTTTGTAAACAAATATTCGTTTACGTTTTAGTGAGCTATACTGCAAATACTGCTAGTTGTAAATACTATTAGTGCATGCATATTTAGATATCTTGTAACTTTTTTAAATCACGTTCACGTTTTTACGAGCTTTTTTTAGCTCTTCAGTGATACGTGGGTAAATAAATTATTCTAATATTCTATTAGGAATGTTGTTTCGGAGTGTCGCAACATTCCCGCCTGTACACCGAAACAATTAAGTAATTATTCATTGAACTAACATTAATTTAGCTATATTACGGAACAAAGGGCTAAGTTTGATCTGAAACTGAGCCTGAACTATCTCACAACATACACTACATGGTCAGACCTTCAGTTTCCTCTCTAAACTATCTTTTTGATGTGAACACAGTAAGTATCGTAAAACCCAGCACGGATAATTATCTTCAGGAAGGCAATTCTTCCGATAGTCTGTATTGTACATACGGTATTGTTCTCTGGACTTTAAACTGTCATTGCCTCAAAGTTACCGGTGGAACAGCGTCACCGTAGTTTCCATTCTTAGTATTTTGCAAAGGACTTCCTATATAGAAAAAAGAATGATAAATGATGAATATGAAACTTATACATTATTTTAGCTTTTAGAGAGAGAGAGCAATCTAGGGATCTGCGGGGTGTGTAAAAAACCATACAGGGAAGTTCTCATATATTATTCGAAATTTGAAGGTCCATGTTGATCACAGTAAAGATTGCAACTCGGAGACGACACCCTTCCCTGATAGCATGCATGCTTCCATTTTCCTTCCCAGGGTATTTCCTTTTTTGTCTATCGCTATTCTCCTTTAACCAAGAGACATAATATATACACTACCACTACGGTATATATACGTTAATATATACAAATATGTTCACAAATTTACATGAGTTAGCTCTTTCATCTGTAGAAATAGAGAATATTTCTAGCGTATACTAAACTAGCGTACTCCAAACATGGCTCCACATCAATGTGCACGTGTACATTCACGCACGTCACGTGATTCATAAGATGATGGGACGAAGGAAAGATTTTAATGACCCGGAAAAAATGGATGAATGCGTCACGCCGTGAGAGTATGATTTTTAAAAGATCCATTAAGGAAGAGGAAAAGCAAAGTTGGTCGCGGATCCATGCGTGAGGTCTGTTTCAAAACGTGAATTGAGTTGTTAGAAGGGAAACCTACGAAAAAAACCAGGAACAACAAGAATAAGATATTTAAGATATTTGAAACTTGACCAGCCGACATCTAAAAATATACACGAAACAGAATTTTGGCTAAGATGGCTGAGCTAGAGCAAATGTTCACTGAAAAGGCCTCCCCTAACGAAAAGACACAAAAATTTGCAGCTCAATTGGGTATAAAAACTACACCCAATTTATTCCACTTCCTATTTTGCCAAAGAAACAATCTTATATTCAGAGCCCTTGGATTTCAAGAGCCGAGTTGATTTTTTTCCTTCAAATTCACGTGACTATAACCCCATAGAGAATATGTGGTCTGTCATCAAACGACGAGTTTATTCGGACGGAAAACAGTATACCTCCACTGTTATTTTCAACGTGTTATTTTAACCCCCAAAATAGGGGTTACAAAAAAAAGTCTAAAATAAGCCCTTTTTTGGGGTTAAAGTGATCCCCCTATGGGTGTTAAAATTTAACCCCGATTTTGGGATTAAAATGACACCTATTTGGGTGTTAAAATGAACCTGTTGGGTATTAAAAATTTAATCCCGTTTAGGGTGTTAAATTTACTTAATACCAATAAGGGATTAAAAGACACAGGTTTTAAAATAATTAATTGTAAATTTTTAAAAGCTCACCTATAAAGGTAAATTACTTCGATGGAAAGACATTTTTCGCTTGATTTTCTTTTCAATTGTGATCTATCAAGTGAATCTACTTCGCTTTAATTTCACAATTGAAAAGAGAATTGAGCGAAATATTCCGTTACATCGAAGATTTCCACCTCCACCTATATAGTGAAAAACCTTAATAATACCGAATCAACAAACAAGCAACACAAATATCGTTATTATATATTATTATAATATTGAACACATGAGATCAATTACGTTTCCGTTTGAGTACAGCTTGTTAACTACGCATTAAAGGAATTGCTTCAATAGTATAGTTCTTTAATACTTTTTATTTACATTTTAATACACATGCACATTTTGCAAAAAAATTAAAGAAAACATTTTTAGGTGGAGTAGCATGCATGCATGCATGCATGAAACACAATGGTATAGTCATTAAGGCACTTGCTGTTCAGTTCTACTAAGCTAAGACTCACTCAACCAAGATGATGATCTGGCTGTAAGCAATTCTGATCCACGTTTCTTCTTTTACAATTTGCCTCGTAGTAAAATTTGCGGAGGTTTTCTGTTGTGCCAATTGAACGAAACAACTCTTCATTCTACGAACAAATAGAAAAATTGCATGTATATGAGTGAAAATTTGAGTAGTGTGGTTTCTGTGTATGCATACACTAGAGCACATTGTTCAACAGACCTGCAAAATCTACATGTTCTACGTGATCCAAAATGCAAACATACTCAAACAAATAAGCAGAAACATGTAAGTATAAGGAAGGAATAATTTCAAGTAATTTAGGCTTAGCTAATATAAAAAAAATACGAAAAAAATATTCCACATACCTAGATTTACTGCCTCCAGTGTTATCAGGATAAGTTGCTTCGTCCATTGAAAATTTAACAGTTTTTTTTAGAGTTGTTTTCAACATCGTTTTGCTAGGTTAGGGCTTTCTGAAATTGAAATGCATCCCAAATCTTCAGAAATTTTAATAATCCTTCAACCCACTTTGTCTTTTAGTTTCCCATTGGCAATGCTTCTTCTACCCTTTACCGGGCATTGTGGACCTCTGTCCTTCTACTGCTTCTAAAGATACGAATGCGAATTGTTATAGACTATTTTAATATCCCAGGAACTTTTAGGGTAAATATTGGAGGCTCGCGATATCATGTATTCATGCTGATCAGAAACACAAAAACACTTCCCTGTCATTTTTGCGACTGAAAAACTATTTTCCCAACAGCCCCACAGGAAAAAATAAATCGACCAGCATCAAAAATTATAGAAACAACTATTTGAAAAACAATTTAGAATCAAACTATCAGAATCTTGCAATAAATTTGTCTTTTTTACAGGCCAAGTTAACACAATAAAAAGGCGGGAAAATTAAATGCAAGAATAACTTTAAATATTTACCTTGAAATAGCTCGCAGTAGTCGCCAAATCCAGCTTTACGCACCCACAGTTGGTAGTCCTCTATTGAGTTTACCATTTTCGAATGAAAAGTACCGAGAAAGAGAACTTTTCACGGAGCGAGCGAGGGCTTCGTGTGTACTTTGCAAATATTTCGACAAGAAAGACCCGGCCACTGAGCTATATAAAGACCTGAAGTCTTAGCATAGGTATCCCTGGCAATTCAACTCACATCATGAGGTTTTCTTTTTCTTGATTAGTTGAGTCAGTTTGTCTTGATTTTTATATAATCAACTGCCAAAATTTGAAAGGAAAGTTAATGTTAAGACACTATCACTAATGTTTTGTATTTTATTAATTTATGAGCATACTCTGTTGTACCTAACAAAACACTTACTTTTTCAGTTTAATCAAAAATCAATTTTAAAATATTTGACCTTTTGAATTAACATTCTTAATGGCTCATGAAAGTTAAATCTTCATATATGAAAAACAATTAATTTATTTGTCTTTTCCAATGTCCCACTTGTAGACCTCAATAACATTTATGCAAAATAACCAGAAACATCAAATCATAGATTAATTAGCCTTGCAATACATATTATGTATAATTATTGCTCTAAATTATCGGCACTGCTCCATGCTTGATTCACATGATCTGAACTGTTCAATGCATGGTTCTTTGACAATTAATATGAACAAAAAATTGTATTTATAGCCTGATGAGAATATAGCTTGTTAATTATATATATACAACATGTTTAAGGGTCAGTTTTGAGAGATGGATTACTTAAAAATTTGTAGCATAAAAGATATCATCAAGGTTTTAAATGCCACTTAACTCTCATATATGTTAACTTATCCAAAAATGGAGCAGTCAAATTTTTATAGCACTTAAATAGCTAATGCATTTGAGCATTACACTCAAATATCAACCAACTTTCAGACAATTAATGTGCAAGAAATCCAAGCATGCTTGTTCATTCAATAATAAACCAAATACCAAAGATATTCCTGTTTTTTTGTTAATTATTTTGTAATGAATCTTATTTATTTTTATATCCAGGATCACCCTAAAATAACCATGTAATGTGGGACATTGTAATATTATAAAACCCATTCCTCGTACTTTTTAAACATAGTTTTTACTGAATAATTCATGAATAAATCATGTTTTAAAGTACCAAATAAAATGTAAACTTGGGCAATTCACATTTCCATGATAATATATCAAGTGAGCTATTTTATATAGTCTGTTGAAAATGTGATTTCGAAATTTTTTGTGATTTAGATGTTAGAGAAATGTGAGATAATGTTTAAGCAACGTATATGCTCCTTTATCGTTATAAACATTGACGTTTTGGTCATTAGAATTCGATATATAATGATCGGTAGTCAATGCTTTACTCCAGCCGATCGACCATGCATTTCGCTATCTAACGGTTGACTCTACGACATTTATCGTTATAAACTTACCACAAGTATCCGAGGCATTCTTTTCATCACGTATTCTGATGTAGTAAATGATTTCAATACAAAATTTTGTTCAATTCCAATAAAAATTATCATTAACGCGATGTGCATTACCAATCTTCACTCCTTGTTTTCAAATCTCCATTATGAATATATAATGAGAACTCGTTACTCCACCGAGGAGTTAATATAACTCCAAAAGTGGTGTCAAAATAGCACCAAAATTTAACACACCAAAAATGAAAGCTTTAACCCCTCAAATAGTGCTAAATTAATCCCAACGAGGTGTTTTTTAATCCCAATATTGGGGTTAAAGTAGTTCAAAATTTTTAATACCCTTAAAAACCCTTTCATAGGGTATTAAAATAACACCTTGAAAATAACCAACGACGGCTTGTGGAAAAGGATAAAGCAGAAAACATCTTCCATACTAAGATCTCCAAAAGGAAAACTGGCAAATTCCGTTAATGAAAGACCGTTTGGTATAATTCGTCTGAAAGATTCCCACGTTAGTAAATAGACACCCTAACGCTGAAACGTAATCTGATGTTTCAATTGTAAATTGTCAATTGTAGATTGACAAATGACAAATTGCATGTTAAGAATTGTTGATTGTGAAGCCCTATAATGACAGGAACTTATGTTTTTGGTTGCGAAACATGCTTTTTCTAAAAAAATTTTTTATCATGGCTCGAGACGTTTTTGCATTAGATTGAATATGTCAAACATTTTCACCTTCTGCAACGTTTTGGTTGGAATTTTTGAATATACTTGGTTTATTTCCAAAATTCCAGCTACAATATGACGAAACTAAAGATCGTTTTTAAATTTAGCATTATAACTAATATCGTGAGCCGCAGTGTGGAATAGCAAGTGGGGCCCCGTCGTTCCTTTATACTGTTTGTAGTAGCTTTCAGAGTTTGTTTGAAAGAAAAAAAACAATGTTTATGAATATAATTGTTGACGAAGGTATAGTAATTTTTTGCACAATTAAAAACGACTATATAACTGCCTTCAAGAGCGGGCAATCTAGGGCTTTACATGGTGTTTTATTCGAAATTCGATGGTTCTTGATGATCTCAACAAAGATTGTAAAACAAACATTTTTTATTTTGTCGCGAAATATAATTATTGATGATCTTAATTATTTCCCTGCAAATATAATTATTGACGATTAAATATAACTATATGATTATATTAATTTTCCGCACCATGAAAGTGACTTGTCTTAAAAACTGAATTAAACTTACTGTTGGTATTGTTTTGCCGGGTCATAGCGCAGTTGTTGCTTCTTTTAGTGCAACTACTTTCTTCTTTAGAGAAAGCTTTAGGGAACTATAAATATAATTCAGAATTTGTAAAAAAATAAAGCAGCATTTGTGATAAGATAGCTTTAGTCATACATATAGCACCTACGTTTTTATGTCACCTCTTCAAAACATCTTTTATTAACTTGGGAAAAACAGTGGAATTTTTCATTCAAAGAATGATGTATCAAAACAATCTCAAAATACCGCAGCATGTTTAACTTTACTTAAAATTAAAAGATTTTTACCCGCAGTATAAACCAGTTTGACTGCTTAACTGAACCGTACATGCGGTGTTTGCAAAATATAAAACTGAACAACACACCTTTACACTTAAAAGCACGTGGAAAACAAATATCATCAGTCCTTGTAGAGAGTTAAATATTGCAAATAAATATTTAAACACAATTGTTTCTTGATTGAATACCAGCAAACCAAATACCCAGGTTAGACCAAGTATTGGAAGCAGAACAGCAGAACCTTTGAGAACGATTTCTGCTTTCCTTAATTTGCCATCAGCGTCGCTTTGGGTTATGCTTACTGCCCTGGACGATAAAGTATTTCGTAAAGCCAGAAAGAATATTGAAATGTTGATCTAAATATATAAAAAGTACAATCCATAATGTTTAAACATCAATCGACAAATTTACATGCAGAATTATTTTAAGTGAAATTCCCTAATTCTCTGGGTTAACATATATATATATGGCTTTTTATGCATGAACCTTTATACTTTTTAAAATACGATGCACCGGCTAACACCGTTAGGTTCGTTATGACTCTTATGAATATGTACTATAGTCTCCCCCCCCCCCTACCAAACCACACGCGATCCATGTTTATTAATTAACAATAAACGAAAATGCCCGTAATGTAAAAGGTTTCTCTTTAAGGAACGTTTGAGCAAACTTCATTACCAGTAATATTAGTCCAATGATACCAACAAAAGTCCAAAACAGCGCACCTCCAGCACGGCACCAACATGAGTGTTCTGATATAAAATCATCTGGGCGATTTATTCCGACTAACACAGCGACAGTGATCACTGGAAGTCCTACGTATAGGAATCAACACTGCTAAATACACCTATAATCTCCAATCTCCAAACAAATTCTTGCTACCCTTATTTAAAAGAAAAGTGGTCGCAAAAAAGCAATAAATGCAGAGCCTGATTAGCGAAAATTGTTAGCTTTCTAGCAGTCTTTACTGCTGTCGAAACAGGTAAGCATAATTTGTCCTAAGTATTTGGGACTCGATTTCCCAGTTAAATGTTATCCCCAAGAATAACAGAATTGATATTATTTTCGTAGGAAAAGTGTAGGCTCACAATGATATTTTTGCATCATTTCTGGTATTGTGTGTTACTAGTGCCTCTTATGTCTTCTTAAATTATTTTGAAAATTTTGAGCAAAAATCTCGGTCATATGCCCTTGTACTCACCCCAGCCAATGGCGTAAAAGGCCTTCATATACTTTCCCCCCAACCTCAAACCTGCATACAATTTCACAAGTTGGAGATGGATCACAATTGCCTCGCATAACATCCATCCAAATAACGCAAGTGCAGAAAAGTACAATAAAATAGAGGTGACTATGCAGAAGGTCTAGAAGAAAGAATAAATAACATATTTTATCGACACAGTGTGGTGTTCAAAAAGTTGGCAGTTAAAGGTATCCAATTACCTCGTGATCACGTGCGGGTCCTGCAAGAATAGCAAATACATTTGTCATTCCGATGGCAACACAGAGATTCATGAGAACTTTAGAAGGGACTTTGCTTGTGACATTTCTGTGGATTTTTTTCCAGTGTAATACGTGAGCTAACATCGTCAATATCACACCAGCCAATGATAGCGAACAACCAACTGTAGATATTATCTCAAAAGCACCCTGCTAAGGAAAATATACATTGGGTCATTCAAAACATGAAAAATGATCAAATTATGTCGAATAGAATGCTATGTACTGAATATGCTGATATTTTGTGCGATTTTTTTTCGAACTTCCGTATTCTTACGGTGCAGTTCATTTACCTGAAAATAGAATAGTAAACTATTAGCGTTAGTGATATTTCTTTTTCAAAGGAACTTGACAATAAAAAATAAGTTTTATTTAAGCTTTATTTAAAAGAGCTCCAAAAACTATGGTTTATCTTGAGTTTTTTTGTACTTGTTTGATAATTAAATCTAAGTAAATGACGTCACCACCGGGGTAAGAGTTGACGCGCGCAAATCTTTTTAATACAAGCGGAAACAAGGATGAATTTCGTTTTAGGCAAATCAGCAAGTTTGTTTACATTTTCAACAACCTAATCAGAATGCATAATTCTTGATAAAATGTACAATATATACCATTTTATATAAAGTGATTAAAATTTAGGCATTCTCATTAGAATCCATTATGGCGATTAGTTTGAAGCGAAATTCCCCCTTGTTACAAGCCGAAGGCTTCTCCTGTATAGAAAACGTGTAAGTAAATTTAAAGATTATAGACGAAAAGGTATTTCGAATAAACGATCTGTCGTAGCATATAATGAAAAATGGAGAAATCCAATAGAACGACAATAATTGTGGAAAGAATAACTTAACCGGCCAGCCTTCCGGGAAAATTGTATGAAAAAATTGAAAACGTATAAACGTATAACTACATATAATTTAAACGTGGGTAAAATAAGTATTTCAGAATTTTTTTTAATAGTATATATTAAAATAGTATTAGAATAGCAATTCACTTACTTCTTCTGCGAGACTGGTAAATCGGTCTGTTTCGTCGTTGGAAATTTTCTCTATACAAAAAGCGCATTCATTAAACAAGTAATGCAAGAAGAAAATTATCATTTTTTATTGTAATGAATTTTGAGACGCGATACATCTAAATTCATGTACATCGCCTTCACTCCAAACTGTAGTTACCTTCACAAATCATTCCATTTCCTCTGAATCCTGCATTACAAGTACAGGTGTAAGATCCAATGGTATTCTTGCACGTCGCTTGAGAATGACATCTGTAATTGTTTAACGCACATTCATTCTTGTCTAAGAAATAATAAAGATTGCAAAAAATAGTACTTTCCCAGGCAACCATTCGAATGAACATGATCTAGGAAATATTAGCAACAAAAAATAAAAGTCAGTGCACAAACATGCGCGCGCATGATCTCATCTGGCAAGCGGTTTTGATTATTACTATTATTATTATTATTATTTAAAAATATTTAAACACGGTAGCCTTTCACTTGGTGATATTCAAAGTGTTAATTTATTACCTGTTAGCCATTTTCAAATATTTTTAGCTAAGTCACATTTTAATTTGGACTCAATGTCTGCCGATGACTTTCCTTTACAAGAAAGGTTAGTGTCATCTGCAAACATAGAGGCCTTAAGTTGTTCGAGAAGATATGATAGAGACATTTAGGAAGTTAATTGATGTATAAGTTGAATAGTAAAGGGCCTAGTGTTGATTTTGTAGCACGCAACTATATATTAGTTACCTTCACAAATCATTCCATTTCCTGTGAATCCTGCATTACAAGAACAGGTGTAAGATCCAATGGTATTCTTGCACGTCGCTTGAGAATGACATCTGTAATTGTTTAACGCACATTCATTCTTGTCTAAGAAATAATAGAGATTGCAAAAAATAGTACTTTCCACAGCAACCATTCGAATGAACATGAATGCTATATCATGGGTTGTATGATTTTCTTTACCTTCGCAAACACTCCCATTTCCTGAAAATCCCTCATTACAAGTACAGGTGTACGATCCAATGAAATTCGTGCACGTCGCTTGAGGATGACATATGTAATTGCTTAACGCACATTCATTCCTGTCTAAGAAATAATACAGATTGCAAAAAATAGTACTTTCCACAGCAACCATTCGAATGAACATGAATGCTATAAAATTATCGTGGGTTGTATGATTTTCTTACGTATACCTTCGCAAACACTCCCATTTCCTAAAAATCCCTCATAACAAGTGCAGGTGTACGATCCAATGAAATTCGTGCACGTCGCTTGAGGATGACATATGTGCTTGTTTAACGCACATTCACTCTTGTCTAAGAAATAATACAGATTGTAAAAAAAAGTACTTTCTACAGCAACCATTCGAATGAACGTGAATGCTATATCGCGTGTGTATGATTTTCTTTGAGAATGACACCAGCCTTTTCTTTAAGATACATTAGAGGTTAAAAAAATTCAATATATTTTCATACTAGCAACCATTTGAATACAGGTTAAAACTTTTTTTATATATTTTCATACTAACAACTATTTGAATGCATGAAAATGAAGACTAACGCGCGCTGTTACTGATCTAACTTAATTTACCGTGGCAAAATTTCCCATTTCCAGTAAATCCTTCATTACAAACACAAGTGTATGATCCAATGGTATTGATGCACGTGGCTTGAGAGTGACAACTGTGAGTTTTCAAATCACATTCATCAATGTCTAAGATATAACCCAAACTGCATAAAAATGACTGACAAATATTTCATTAAAAATTAAGTATGATATTTGTTACTGTACTTTTGCAAATTCCCGCGTAAATCCTTTATAACATGGTTGGAAGTGAATGAATATATGCAAACCGGATAATTTTTTCTTCGTATAGTATTTGAAAACAGTCGAAAACTTTCCAACCTTGTATATATTATATATAGGAAAGACCAACAATGTTTTTTAATAGTGATTGCATAAGCTCGGGCTCGCAATGTTGGATTACTTGTAGTTTTAAATACAGTATGAAATATCGATTATTTTTGTTTTGTTTTGTTAATTATTCATGTCTTTAGAATTTCATTGTTTTCGCAGTCAATAAACACCAAAATATTATAATAGTGGGACAAATCGTCAGTCTACGCTATGATAGTTTAAAAATATCAAATTCGTAATTACTCAGTCTCAGACAGGGTCACTTCATGTAGAGTTTTCTAATAGATATTGCATAGTGTATTAAATTATGACTTACCCTTTTCACAGATAGATGGCCACGTGGTGTCGCATGAATGGTCATTCCACTTTCCGTTTGTTAGATATTCAACGCAATATTCATTTCCCTGTGCATTATTTGGCTCGTTATCATTCCAATTGAAATAGGTGGATAGGCTATAATCAGGATAACGCCATTTACCATTGCGCCATGTCAAGCCAATCCACACAGAGGACTTTTGTATAAATTCTCTGAACAGGAAATTATTAAGACCGCCTCCCGTAACCCTGGCGAGCTGTCCACTTTTGGTTTTACAATCGTTGTTCGCACTTTCCCACGATAAAGATTTAGAATTTAAGAAGTAACAAAAACCGTAAAAAATTTTCGAAGACGACGGACATGCAACTGCAAAAGAAGAAAGGCTTCACAATAACGCCTTCGAAAGGCGTTAACTTTAAACGGTGGATAAGCCAAGCTTAACGCCTTTCGAAAAACTGGCTCCAGGAAAAGAATATTTAAAAATTTATCAAGTTGATTTCAAGTTTATGATCTCAATAATGGCCATTCCTCATTAAACTATATTTTAAACTACGAAGCTTCATGAAATAGAACAATTGAAAAGAACACCCAAATATTGGTAGGATTGAGAATTTGATTGCGAAATATTACAAATGAGTAACTAAGTAAATACAATAATCAAAATATAAGGCAAGTGAATAAAGATTCATCTAGGAAATATTAGCAACAAAAAATAAAAGTCAGTGAACAAACATGCGCACGCATGATCTCATCTGGCAAGCGGTTTTGATTATTACTATCATTATTATTATTTAAAAATATTTAAACACGGTAACCTTTCACTTGGTGATATTCAAAGTGTTAATTTATTACCTGTTAGCCATTTTCAAATATTTTTAGCTAAGTCACATTTTAATTTGGACTCAATGTCTGCCGATGACTTCCCTTTACAAGAAAGGTTAGTGTCATCATTCTGCAAACATAGAGGCCTTAAGTTGTTCGAGAAGATATGATAGAGACATTTAGGAAGTTAATTGATGTATAAGTTGAAAAAGTAAAGGGCCTAGTGTTGATTTTGTAGCACGCCGCCACATATTTCACCTATATCCGACTTGGCATTGTTGATTTTGCAGATTTGTTTTTTTGTGCGTAAGTATAGGATTTGAACCATTCAAGTGGAGTTCCTCCTACCCCACAGCGCTCCGGTTTAGTTAGGAGTAGGAATGGTCGCCTGTATGGAATGCCTTTTTAAGATCTAGGACTACAACTCTGTTAAATTCTTGGGGTTTAAAGGGTCTTAATTTCGAGTGGAATGATACACACTTCAAATTCAAGCCAGGAACAGTTGATGGGAAAATGAGTCAACTATTGTTCCTTCGGCAGGAATTGAACCTACGCTTTTGCGATGCCGGTGCAATGCTCTTGCCACTGAGCTAAATAAACATTGGATGGAGTTAAATTCTAGGAATTTATATATAGGTCTTAATTTCGAGTGGAAATATACACACTTCGAATCAATCCTACAACCATGTTAATTTGTTGCCATTTATCCATGCGTGTTGTCTAGTTAGGAGAATAGGAACTTGATTCTCAACGATAACTTCATTTGCTATTAAAGATTTGTTTATCTGGCTATAGATAATTTTTTCAAATATTTGAGCTACTTATGATATGATAGAAATCGGTCTATAGTTACCGCAGTCTGTCTTATCTTCAGATTTGTAAATTGTTGTAATGCAGGCGATTTTCCAGTCATCTGGGAATATACCAGAATTTATAGACAAATTGAATATAAAGTTCAAAGACTTCGATATAGTTTTCCCTACGGCCTGCAGGAGTTTATTCGAAATTTTATCAATTCCTGCAGCTTTACAAGTTTTCAAGCTGATAATAATGCAGTTTATTTCTTCTTCAAATATTGGTTTGAGTAAATGAACTTCTGCAAGTTTTTGCGGAGAAATGTTTGTTGAATTCGTTTGTTATTTCTTTATCAGCAGTTATTATTTTACCATTTGTATATACGTCTAACACTAATGATATCATATCTTCTTGTTACTGTTTCAGGATACGCGGTGAGATTGATATAATATATTTTAGTGGATACGCGGATACCTGGATTCACTGTCAGGTAGTCAAACCACACGTTTTGTGATATAGACCTTTGCGTTGTGGACCTTTTGAAGCATTAAGGCCCGCTTACATTTGTAATTTTTCCTGCGGTTTCATGCGCGTTTTTCCTCTTTTGACTCTTGGTCAAATGGCCCGATTCTATAATCTTGAATAAAATAGAAACCTTTACTCCACAAATTTTAGATTATCTCAATAACCAACTGTTATTCAATTAGCGAAATTTTTATTCGAATATATGCATAATATACTTGTTATTGCAAGGCATTAATGAAATTTTAATACATACTTTCAATCATTATATATATTATATAGTACTTAGCCACTCACAGAATTACAGTATGGATACTTGCTTACCACTTTAAAAATTTCCATACGTATAGGTCTACAAAAAATCCCAAAAATGGGTCACTTCCTTAATTTGTGCTCATAACGCCACAAGAACTCAGCGAATAAATTATTGCGTTTGCGGTGGCGTTGCTTACAAAAATGAACTTGAGTATATCAAAATCCATTCCCCTTATTTAAATATACTAACGTTTGAAAGACCTCCAGGCCGGTTAAAATACTTATTCTTGTGAACTTGGACCATATGAACAGGCTTTAACACCTACACGGAAGTGGCAATCTCTTGAAACTCGATCATCAGTAATTTAAGTAGCGCTTTTCTCCTATGCTTCGTTCTTTAAAATATTAATCGACTGCGTATCCACGTATCCACACAAAACCTATCTTACGTCATATATTGCTGATGTCTTATTATTTTATCCTTCCTATCTTACCTATTCACGCGCATCGTTTTTAGAAAAACTGATTTAATGCGTATGGACGTATCCATGGTATTTTAAAGGTATCGCCTAAAAAATTGTCGAGTACTCGGCAATCGCTCCTGAATTAAACAAATTGCCCGTAATTCATCTTTGATTACCGTGATTTTCCGGCAACGAGTATTACGTGAATATTGGACACACAAACAATAAAATAAGTTAGAAACAGTAGCGTAACTAGCGTGACGGTTTGTCCCTCTATACTAATATTTTGGTGTTCATTGACAGTGAAAACAATAAATTTCTAAAGACATGAATAATAATAATAATTTGAAATTTACATAGCGCGACGAAATTGTCAGGCTGGCCACGCCACTGTCTATACGTAATGTCTGTTTCTATGACAAGTACACTTGCTGAAATTTCATTTTTACCTAAGCCAATTATAGGGGACTAACATTATATACCGTCATCTTTCAGGCTGTCGGAAATAGTTTTATACGGCGTTTAGCTATTATGAATCTTTAACTTGATCGATTAGTAGTACGTTTAACAATGCTAGAATATTTATATCGTACAAAGCAAAAAAATCATCTTATTAACGAAATATATTTTTCCTATTCTAAGAATTTATTTTTTAAAAACTTTTTTTAAAATAAGAAAATTGTTTCTTATAATGAAACAAAAACGATCATGTTATCCGGCAATTGTTTCCAAAATAAATGTCATCCACAACTGACTAAAATTATTTGTTTGCAAGATGCTGCTCCAATAAAACGCCTCGACCATAGCAGCAAATAGAGTTCATCATTTGTTTCATTTGTTTCAAAATTAGACTTATGTCTCGTATAAACACATACCTCCGTTGTTATAAATAAATAATTGGGGTAAAATATGAGTGATATATGTGTATAGGTAACTAAATATTATTGAACAACATACCTGGCCGTATGAATACTTTTACGTGGCAATAAACATCGAAGCTTTCGTATTTGCTGTTGTACGTGTATTGGTAGCTTCGCGTGTGATTTCCAACAGGCAGCGATTCACTGGTATCATTTGGATTCTCTGAACTTGCCGTAGCCGGACACCTGGGTTTGGGTTCTAACCAACTCACAAAAGCACTTTTCTTTGCGGATTCAACTGTGATATTTAGCGTTTGCGTACACGGGCATTCACAGGCTATATATAAATGGGAAAATCAAAAGGATGTTAACCATGTGAACTATTCTAAAACGTTTAAAGGGCTAGGTCTAAAATTTAGAATTGCGCTTTGATGCGTTAGCGGAATGTAATCTGTACATTCTAGGGATCATTAAAGTGTCGAATTATTGAATTCAGTGGTTGCTCACTGATTTTTATTCACAAAATGGTGGGCAGTGCATGCTGTTCGCTTTCTTACGAATTGATGAATGACCAGCAAAAAAGAATCCTACTGGAGTTTTATGAAAGTAGTATGGAGGGAGTTATCAAAGAAGTTGCAAGTAAAACAAGCATCACTGTTGATAGAGTAAATTATTTAGTGGAGTAGAGTAGAGTAAATTATTTGCATAAACACGACTAAATATATATATATATATAACATGGCTAGCTTTGCCATTAGCTGATTATAGTTTCAGAGGCCTTCATACGTCCTCCAAGAGCCCAGATTCCTTTTAATTTACAAATCATTCGTTATACACATATTTTTAGTGATTTCAGTAAAGTATGAAAGCTCGTGTTTCCTGATGTAAGTGGGGTGGACATATTCATATGTTCATGTTAACAGACCGCTATAAAAATCAATTTGAAAATAAATTGATAATGTAAAACACGTACGAATATATAAATAAGTCCATCCCACAAGCTGGCGACGCTACCGATTCCAATATGTGTGCTGCACAGTCTGTAGTCTACTGGCTGTAATACTATAATAAATTGTTCATATTGGCAATAGATATTTATTGCATTTTATTTTTAATTCATTTTAATGAAGCAGAGAATTTCAAAATGTAGAATTTTATTTAGGATAATTGTATGACTATAAGAATTAGCTAGTCTTGTATCAATCTGCAGAAGTGTCCAAATGTGTCCAAGCTTGAGTTAATGCTAGTTCATTGTCATCCGCAACCGATATAAATTAAGGGCCGCCCCCCCCCTCCCCTCCTTTGAAACATTTATTGCTAATATCTACCAGTGAGCTCCACATACATCTGGTGTAAGAACTTTGGGTGCAAAAAGTGAAGCCAAAGATGGCGGAAATTGAAGCACTATAATACGTCAGTTTCAGTCTCTTAACTCGCGCGGCTAAAAATTTCTCATTGTTTTTGGCTGGGAATGACGTTCCCGAAATCTTCAGATTTTCGTGTTTTTCATCATTTTGAGAACACAAAGATGGAAAAAATGGACTCATTTTACTAAGAATTTGTTTCTCTGCACCTACCCGATGTGGATGCCTTATTTTCCCACTGTAAGTGTGAGTAAATATGCATTTTCGCCATAAATTCTACTACGCATTTCAGTTATGCATTTCAAATTCTACTACGCGTTTCAATTTTGAGTTATTTTCATATATTTCCAACTTATGTTTTGAGTTCTTGTTTCGTTTTTGGTTTCGAAACGCTTTAACACTATTTTTCGTTCATTTCTTGGCCAGCTTTCCTAGCATAGGACTCTTTTTAAGGGTCCTTTACGCGCATTATGAGTTTTTTTTATAACTGATTTCATAATCATATATTTGAATTATTTAAAACTCGTACGTTTTAGGGAGCATACTCTGTACATAAATGTTCTGATTTGCGAAAACATCAACAATCCGCCACTCTTTAGCTTTCTTTGTAAGATTTTGCGAATTTCTTTGTTAATTAAATTGAAAGTATCTCAATGCAAAGCATTACTATTATACTTTTCATTGAAATTTTTCTCATTTTTTACTCAAAAATAGGGAACAATAAAATTAAAAAATACGAATTTAGTTGACAGCACACATAAGATAACTGAAACTGACGTAA